TTTGCTGCATAGACGCAGCTGCTCAAATGCGGGCCAGCCACTTTAGAAAGACTGGAAGAGTTTGCACTGAAGATGATCAGGGCTCCTGCTGTCTGTGGCGCAGAAAGGGACATGCTTGTGTATAACCAAGTATAACGAGACATGCAGCTCTCTCTAGTAGGGACAGCTGTGTCTTCAAGCCCTGCTACTACACACACCCACACCTCAACCTCTTCACTGGGGTCACCATGTGCTTTGTGATTGGCTAAGAGCTGAGACAGGCAAAGCCACAACTACTGTCTCTATTTGCTTCCAGGCAAATAGAGACGCTCCATCTGCGGAGCTTGCTGAGTATCTGTCCTCCATGCTATTAGGCTCTGAGAGGACAAGAACCTTCAAGGTCTTGCTTTTTTGCTACAGTATCAATGTGACCCCTAAAGGTCAAGTGCTGAAAATTTGGTCTCCAGATCCACATTTGGAGGTGGGAACTTTAGTTAGGGTTATGAGGCCATGAGGGTGAGGTACACATGATAACCCTGGTAAAATAGAAAGAGACCACAGCTAGTCCTATCGTTTCAGCTACTGGCATCTCTGACGTGTTGTAACGCAGCCATCCAGAAGCAAATACCATGCTGTTGACCCCAACCTCTTGAACCATGAACCAAATAAACCTCTCTGCTTTATAAACAACACAGAATCCAGTATTTTGTTGCGGTAACTTCAGGTCTTTAGTTTATAGCATCTAAAAGATGCCCCAATGTGCTCTGATTCTAACTCAGTGTCCAAATACAGTACTTTGTGTATTCCAAGATAACAGATCTTGAAGCCCACTATATTTTCCTGACCCCAAAACATTAACCAGAACCCGGGCTTTTACACAGCTCCTCAATTCTTAGGCCTTCTCTATGCATCTAAGAAACACTTGAAGGATCTACTGTACCGTGTCTTACTTGTTTCAGATACCGCTGAAACAGATAGAGCAGCAGAGCATGCCACACTGAGAAATGCTGGCTGTGTAAAATCTGGGCCCAAAGACACCGCAAGTGAGGAGGAGAAGGGGGCACAGCTGCTCCCCTGAGGCTCAGTGACAGCAACATTGAGCACAGTGTGGGGCAGGGACACAGTCCCAGCATGCACAGCCCCACAGCCGAGACGTCCTCAGAGACCTTGAAACCATCAACCTGAGCACTCACCTGTCGTCCCCAGAGGGCCAGGTTGGAGGGTCGAAACAGGTGGGCCCTATCTCATTCAGATTAGTGAGTGGTGTGACTACCCATCTCCTCCACCCCACCGCAGTCTGCATATACAATATATACATTGTGTCCCGTTGCAGGAGAGAAACAAGAAAAAACCACACATCAACCCTATCCCTCTGCTAAGCAACACTGCTGGTGACATGCATGTCATTTTCAAAGCAATTTTAGGAGACAATCAGAAGACAAAGGGCGAAAAGACTAACATTGTGGGGGCGCGTTGTTGCTTGTTTGCCTTGAGTGAGAGCACATAGTACTCACACTGTTGGGAAAATAGCATCCCCCCCACCCCACCCCACCCCCAGGTTCCCTAGAGACCAAGCTCTACAGAACAGGTCTCAACATGTTCTCTCCAGGCAAAATGTTCACAGGGAGCAACAGCCTGCTGGTCGACCAGTAGTCTCTAAGAAGCAGGCCCTGGCATAGTGCTGTCCAGCTGTGTAGTGTGGCAGTGCTTGACAGCCTTTTAAATTAGCTTACTTTTTTTTTTTCCCCTGACGGTCTAAGCAAGCCCACAGGCTGTTACACCTGAATGTTCTAGTTAAATGTGAGTTGTGGAAAACACAACCTGAGAATCCTTAGACTCTAGCTCAGGGTCATTCACTGGTCACATGGAGAATCTTTATGTCATGTAAGATGTGTCAGAAAACCCAATCTCAAGACTCACTCCCCGAGCCCTAACCCTGCCTCAGAGAACACAAGCTGGATTTGAGACAGTGTTGGGAGCCAGACTTCCCTGATGGTTAAACCATTGTGGTCATTTAGTTTGTTGATCGTTGCCTCACCCCAACCTCCAGTGTGTGCTCTCAGGAAGTCCTTCCCTAGTCCTGAGTGAAAAAGAAAAACATCTCTCTTAATAAATATATCTGGGGAATCAGCCTATAGTCTGGTGGCCTAGTTAACTCTTCTCCAAGGGAAGAAAAGATTAGCAGTTAATGATTAGCCATTAATTGGACACACAAAATCTCAAGGGAGTCTTCCTTGACATGAAGCACATCCCTGTGTATTCATAGAATAAAAGAATTGACAACTTATTAACATGGTAACTCTCATAATGATGAGCAATATACAGTCTACCAGATGGCCAAAACCATACACTGACTTAAAGCTATATTTATCATTAGTCTCTGTCATTAGGATACCTTCTAGTGTATATTATAATAAATTGTATTTAAATAAATGTATATATAGTAATAGACAAAATATTATAGCTAATGTATTTCTTTATTATAAAAAACAATAAAAGGGAAAAGGTCACAGACAGAATGCGAAATGCATTGTTGGGAAAAAAATATTGCTATAGCCAAAAGCCAGACTTCAAACAGCATCTCCAGGAACTCAAGAAGTCAGCTGTACCCCAGGAAAACCACCCGAGCACGTGACTTAACACCCTAATAAAGCTGTCAGCCTGTGGCTGTGGACTACAGGGTCCACCTGAAAGGAGGCGGGGAAGAACTTACACAAGCCTGAACTGGTAACAAAATGTAAGTTTGACCCAACCTCAGGGGTTTTCCAACACAATGTGGCATTCTAGAAGACATGGTGACAAGGTTTTTGTAGTTGCTGCTTTGGGTTCCTTTGTTCCTTTGGGATTCTTTGTTCCTTCTTGGTTTTTCAGAGGGGGTGATTAGTAGATCAGCAGAAACCAAGAGGCCTTATCGCCATGAGGCAGGACCTAAGTGACCCTCAGGAGCTACGGCCTCCCTATTAGGAAGTGTATGTGTTTCCTTAGAGAAGAGTAAAGGCAAACAGGGAGTCTGGAGTCAGCAAACCCATAACCTACGGACACCAACCACGGGCGAGCTCCCTTAATGCAATCTCTATCTTATGTACATTCACCATGGGTCAGCTCCCTCAGTGCAACCCTGGCCTTTGTCTATACCAACCACAATACCCACAGAGATAAGCTGTTGTTTTCATGACATTCTGATCCTTAGCAAATGAAAATCCAGTGCCTAGAGGGAGTCTCCCTTAAAAATGGCGGAGTGGAGTGCTCTATGTCAAAGAACCCTGAAGGCAGCAGTGAGCACACTCTCCGACACTATGCTAAGGCAGAGCCGAGCACAACTCCACTGGCTTCACGAGATCTATTCCTGAGACTTCACGATAACCGCCAAGGGTAGGTGCCCTCAACCTTGGCCTGCAGTTTGCACTGGGGATGTAATGATGCATTCTATCTGCCCAGGGAAGAGGACATGAAGGTGCAGGCAGTCTCCTGCAGGCAGCTGACAGCCAAGGGCAGGGCTCTCTTGGGGACCCCCTCGGGCAGAGGGTGAAAGTGGTGCCAGTTTTCAGGGCTGGGAGGGCAGGACTGTGGTTGTCCTCTGCCGCTTAGTACTTTCCTACAGCCAGAACTGCAGTGCCGGTGGTGATGTGGACCCCCACAATGCTAAGGGAAGATGGGAGAGAGAGGAGGAGAAACTGAGGCATGAAGGACCTGTGCCTGGGCCAGGAAGTTGGGTTTACTTGAAAGTCTATGGTAAACAGATTAAAGGGGGGAGGGGGCAGAGGATGAAACAGAGGAACCAGTAAGAGCCTTGGTTTGATGTGATCAGAGCAATGCAAAATTTCCCCCAGGGAAACAGACTGGGGTCACCTAGCTCAGGCACTCCGTCCCTGCAGGACCAGCCTGGGCTTGGGTCCATCACCTTTCACACTCTCCCAAGGTCTTTAAAACAGCGTGGGGATCCCAGCCATCCAGACACTCAGTTAAATCCTCATCCTCATGTTGATCTCCTGGGAACATTTTTTTTTTCCACTTATTAAGATCTCAGACAAGGAGGTTTAGACCCAAGTGGCTCCTGTAAGCCTGAAAGTATTTCTAAAGGATTAGGGTTCTACATGAAACACATTCTTCATCTTATTATCTCTAGCTTCCTGGGGTCTCAGCAAACGTCCTGGGAAGACTTTTTTTTTTTTTTTTTTTTTTTTTTAAACAAAGCTTTCGGTGTGAGCCACTGCTGGACATTGTCCACTTTTTTTTTTTTTTTTTTTTTTTGAAGCTTTGAAAAAAAAAAATGCCTGTTTACACTCAAAACTTCCTCCTCATGCCTCTACGGACTCTTTCAAAAATGAAATCGTGGCTTCCTTCCTGACTAGAGGGAGCGCAAACTACACAATGATGTTCACAAGCTTCCAGCATCTTTAATTCTTTCAAAGTAAATCTTAAAATGCCCAGTAAAGAGGATAGCATAAGAGACTTCCCACTGCACACACACACACCCGCCCCCAACCCCGAGCACATTATCTGCTCTACCAAAACGAAATATCTTTTCGCAGCTGGCAATGTTGAGCAACCCTAAGCCTCTGGGAGCTAAATCTGGAAATTCTTACAATGAACCTACCTGTTCACATTCTTTCACTTCAGGGATTAAAGGCTTCTTTGGCAGAAATCTTTTGAAGACCAATAAGGCGGATCACTCTTTGTTTTCTCTCCTAATTCTTTAATAACCTTGGGACTAGAAGGGCCAGCTAGGGTGTTCAGGACAGGGGACGATGTCACTAGTAACAGCCCCAGACCTGACTTGCAAACACTTCCAGGCGGAGCACCTGACCCCCAACCCTCACACCTCGGTGCACACTGTGGGCTCTTCTGCAGTACCTGGCACCTCACACACACTAGGCAAACGCTCTGTCACAGCCCTAGCTTTTCCGAAATCTTAGCTGTCCCTCTGGATGATGAGTGGAAGCTCTTGTGCGTGGATTTGGTCCTGCACCAGTCGTATGAGAATGACAGGGTAGTCCTATGCCCGGGGATGTGAGATTTACCTTGACAAACAGGGTGATGTCATGCTCCTGTCCCGGGTCCTCCATCTCCGATGCTGGGCCATTCTCCCTGCGGTCATTCACTTGCCCCAACTCTTCTCCGCGCTGAGTGCTGGGCTCCTCAGGGAGGTGGTTGCTGAGCTCCGCCTGGGACTCCTCCTGTTGGGTGACTTTGCCCTCCTCTTCATCAGGGCTGCCGTCGGAAGTCTTCTCCTGCATGCCCTCCTTACAGTGTCCCTCCAGCCCAGGTTCTGGCCTCGCTTCTTCCTCCCCGGTCTCCTCCTGGAGCCCTCCCTGCTTCCCATCCTCGCCAGCGTCTACCCTCGCCTCCTCCGAAGCTGCTTCTTCCGGCCGGTCTTTCCCCGGGGCTCCGGCTTCCCCCGCGTCGTCTGCGGTTGGAGCTCCCGCCAGCTCCCCGGAGTCGTGCCCTCCGATCTCTGCGGCTGCGACCTCAGTCGCCTCGGCCTGAGGCTGAGAGATGCTTTCTCCTCCACTCTGAGGCTCACCCTCTGACCCATGTGCCTCTCCTGCGGGTGCATCTGTATCCATGCTCTCCCCTGCAGGTCCCTGGGCTTCTGTATTGATCTGCGATCCTGGTGCACTGCCCCGCTGCGCTTCCAGACCGGACTCTACCTCTTTCCACGCTTCTGAGGTTGCGGGGTCCTCCGGCTGTTGGCGATCATCCCCAGGGACCTCGGGGACCTCACCGTGCGGGTCTAGCCCCGGGCTCGGCTCTCGCACCTGCTGGGCGCCCGGCTCCTCCTCGGCTTCCTGCAGGAGCCGGGCGCCCTCTGGGTCGCGCTCTGCAGCCTCTGCTTCACCCTGCGCTCCGCTGGCGCTCGGAGTCTCGGTCCCGATCCCTCCGTCCTGCCCGCAGCCTCCTTCTTCCTTCCCCGAGGCCGTCGCCTCTGCGCCCGCCCCCTGGTCCTTGGGCGCCTCTGCAGCTCCCTTGCTCGCTGCCTGCTCCTCCAGGCCCGCAGCCCCAGGTTCTCCTAGTCCCTCAATCTTCCCACCTTCAGGTTGCTCCTGTGGACCCGGAGAGACTTCCTTGAGCTCCGCAACCTCAGCCATGGTGAAACACTCTTCTCGACGCTGCTCAGGGGTGAGGGACAGGGGCTGCCAAGCCCCCTCCGAGAGGACACCCCACTCCCTGCTCTGGAGGTGAAGGTTTCGCTTGATGCGAAATCCAGCCGGTCCCAAGACCTTTGTTCCTTCGCTCTGGCTTAAGATCCCTGGGCTCTTCCTCTAGCGTGCCTTGCTTCTCCTAGATTCACACGGGACCCCAATCCTAGCGCGCAGGCCAGAGTGTAAAGCTAAAGAATGCAGCTTGCCTCTTGGAACCTTAGAAGAAATGGACTGGTTCTCTTCTGTCTCAGAAGTTGACCACAAGTCCCCAGAAGCAACTCTGCCCTCCTCGGGCTTGGGCGGGGTTTGTCTTCCCCAACCCCCACCCCCAGCCTATTTGGGTGGCCTGGGAACCTAGCCAATGATAGCCTTTCTGTGGCTTTTGTGGATTTTAAATGAAAAGGCCGACTTTACTGGCCACTTTGGCGTTTTCTGGTACAGCTTCAAGTTTCAGCGCCCTTTAAATCACAACCACATAGGCTAGTACCTAATTCTCACCTTAGCTCACCACTCACCACGGAGGAGCCTTAAGCTCCTCTGGTACTGAGTGGAATAGACCCTCCTGAGCCTCTGGTTCTACAGCAAAAGTATAAACCCTAAAGGGGAGAATCGGGAGCCTGCGGCCTTCCCTTTTTCCTGAATTCCAGAAGCATACAGATGGGGCAAAGGAAGGCAACTGTGTTCTTACCAGGGGAAGAGTCCTCTGAAAGTGTGTTTCTCACTCCTCCAAAGATGCTAAGAACCTGTGTCCTCCTCAGACTCCGCTTAAAATTCATGACCAGTGGGCGGGCCTCAATGCTGTGGTAAGGGGTATGGGGCTGAAGGTGAGGAAAGAAAATTCAGGATGTGAAAGAGGGGACCGTTATGGAATTCTCTGGGCTAGGAATCTCCTAGGATCACCCATCAGAGAATCTCCCCATAAAAAGAAGGGAGTTATGGTCTAAAAGCAAAAACGCCAAATCTTCTCAAACCATCCCCTGTGATGGGAAGAGTGAGCCCCAAAATTATTCTATGAGGCCAGTATTTCCCCCTTATCAAAGGACACACCAACTATAGACTAATATGCCTGATGAATATAGGTACAAAAATTCTTAACAAAACACTAAGGATTTAAATGTAGACACATATCAAAAAGATCATTCACAGCAATCAACTTGGTTTCCTCCCAAGGTTGCAATTATGATTCAACACATGCTAATTTAGAGACGAGTTTTTAAAACTTGTTTGCGGACTGGAGAGGCGGCTGTGAGCTCGATTGGGAGTGGGCACTGCTCTTTCAGAGAATGTGAGTCTGATTCCCAGCACCCACATAAGATGGCTCACCACTTCCTCTGGCTCCAGCCCATCCTGTACCATCCGGCTGCAAATGGCACCTGGAGAGACGTGTACAAACACACACATATGACACATGCCAAACGCTGAAAATAAGATACATGTTTTTCTTCAAATAATGTGTTCGTCTCGGTAGGTGCAGGCAGTGCATTTGATAACATTCCACATCCCTTCGTAATAAAAACCTTGGCAGTTTTCATAGAAGGATAATAATAGCTCAACAAAGCAGAAGTTGCTTGTTTTTTGGGGTGGGGTCTCATGTAGCCCAGGCTGGTCTCAGGCACACTAACTATATAGCTGAGGATGACCTTGAATTTTGACACTCAAGTCTTCATGAAATGCTGGAGACTGAACCCAAGTCTTCCATGCATGCAAGCGCCCCAGAGGATGCTGCCTAAAAATGGTGGTGCGGTGGGGATTCCAGTTTGACTGTCAGGCTCTTACTGGTTTTATCCATCACACCCAGAGGATTCTGTTGTCTGTACAAGAGTGGGTTGTATCTTAAAGTGGTAGCCATTCACCTAAATTCTTCCACCAAATTCCCACTGCCCATTACTGATGGATGGCTAGAGCTGTGGCTTAAATGTGTCCTTGAAAGATCCATGTGTTGAAAACTTAATCTTGAACTTCACATTTAGTGGTACTTATAGGTGGCCTTTGGAGAGTATTTATAGTCAGATGAGTGTGGGGTGAGGGACTTCATGGTGGCATTCTTGGCAAGAACAAGAGGCATGGACTAACCCTCCCCTCTCTCTCTCTCTCTCTCTCTCTCTCTCTCTCTCTCTCTCTCTCTCTCTACCTATCTATCTATCTTCCTCTGTGTGTGTGTGAATCTATCTATCTCTTTGTGTGCATTTTTCTGTGTGTGTGTGTGCATGCGCGTGTGTGCGTGTGTGTGTCTATCTATCTCTTTGCGTGCATTTTTCTGTCTCTCTTCCCCTCTCCTTTCTCTCCTTCTTACCCTTTCTTCCTATATAAGAAACACCTTCTGCCACAGGACAATGCATGAAGAAGAACTTAGGAGAGGCTAACATATCTGATATTGGCATCCCAGCCCCCAAAACTGTGAGCAATAGATTGCTTGCCCTTATTAATTACTCAGTCCACGATCTTCTGTCAAAGAGGCACAAAACAAGGTAACAAGGGCAGAGCCCCAATCACAGCCACATCCATTTCACCTCTCTCCAAGGCTGAACTCCACCTGCGAGGAAATAGGACTGACGCCACAGCTTTGAACAAATGCACGTCGCCCACACAGGTAAGACAAATGGGCGTGCCAGGTAGAACCAGTGTGGCTCCAGACACCTAGAAAAGAACCCTGCTGCATGCAGCAAGTCAAGAAAGCATCCACCACTCAACGTCTGTTGAGTGAGGCACTAACAGCAAGTGGTGTCTGTTTATGCTCCTTTATGGAGATACTCAAGGCCGGGTGCACTGCAGGGAAGAGAGTTCAAAACCAAAGCTGATTGCATGATTTCCCATATCACGTTTTACTTGATGTATGCAACCCGCCACCTTGGGATCAAATATGGAGGTGGCTTCTTAGTGACACGGATAAATAGCACATTGTGTAATGAATTGTAAAAACCAGGGGCTGGGAAGATGACCCAACACATGCAATCATGAGGACGCGAGTTTGGATCCCCAGGGATGTCTTTTTAGGTGTGATGCCACACATGCACCTGCAAGCCCAGAACTGAGGGAGATCTGGGGAGACACAGGGAAACTTTCTGGGGGCTGCTGGCCACCAATCTAGCTTTGAGTTTGGTGAGCCGCTGTCTCAAGGGAATACGGTGGAAAAAGGTAGAGCAGGGCCTATGGTGTCCTTCTCTGGCCTCTGCATGTGTGGGCACGCATGTTTATGCACACATAGGCACAGATATTACATGGCACACACCCACATCACATACCTATGCCACACACATGCAAATGCACACACCAAAAGCCAAAAATAAATGTAAAATCTACACCTAATTTCACACACAGCTAAAGTTGACCTTCAAATAGGCTTCCGGTCAAACTGGTTTGCTTCAAGGTGAGTGCCTCCCAAAAAAACTTGCAGTGTTTGGAGCTGTTGGAGGTTTCTAAGTGCAAATAGGGATTGTGGATTTGAGCCACTGGAGAATTTAGCTAGGATTATCTGCACGGTTGTGCAAACTGTGAGCCTAAGTCCATGTACAGCTTCTAATACAGAGCCAATGTGCCCTACGCCTCTCACGGGGCAATGGAGAGAGGGTCCACATTTCTGAACGCTGATGTTTAATAAACTTTTACTCAAGCCACTGTGTGCAAATGCCCTGATAATAGGAGTGCCAGTGCCTCCAGGGGACGGGTGAATGGTGTGTGGGGCTGGCACAGCCCAGGCAAACCTGTCGTCTGACTGCCTTAGCCTTGGCTGTGCCCTTGGACAAAGGTTAACGAAGCCCGTTTTGTTGGGCATGGCGGACCATCATATGCAAGCTACCTTATCTCGTGGGCTTTGGTTTTGTTGTTACTGGTTTGATAAGAGGGTTGGCACAGCTCCTGCGCCCTAGAATCCTTCTCTGCCTTACGTTCCCTTTAGCAGCTATCTCCTTCCGACTTGGGATATATCTACTCATTACATCTACCTATCACCCCACGATGACGCCGTTCCCATGACAGTAAGGGACTCTTGTTTACCATTATCTAGAGCAGAACAAAGCACATATTCGGGTCCTGGTAGGAATGTGTTGTTGACTAAATAAGTACACGTGTCTTCAGATCCATGTGCATCAATCTGAACTAGTTTTTAAAACAACTTTTCTCCATTGGTTTTTACAAAGTAGGGGGGCAAGATAATGTCATGAGGCTTGGTGGCCACGGGGACCTTCCTATTCCCATTGGTGATGACTTCAACAGATGTGCTAATTGTTAGCAAGGGGCAAGTCCTATAAGGGCCACAAAAGAAACAGCAAATCAGCAGCCGTGAAGAGTGTGTGGACCTGTTTGATCTGTACCCCGTTTAGAAGTCGCCCTCACTGGATTAGCTACTTAAATACTAAGGAGGATTAAACAGAGGGGGCAGCCTCACGGGTGGGTGCAAGAGGCAAGGTTCTTAGTTGCCACGGTGCTCTCCTACCACACAGGAAAAGTAGCCACAAGGTTCAGAACTGAGATTACAAAGAAGATGCCGTAGACCCGGGACGAGTCAAGACTTGGTTGTTTCTGTTATTTTTCCCAGCAAGAACAGATTCATTTCCCTCCCCCTCCCACCTCCCCCACACACCTCTCCCCCCCCACACCTCCCCCCAACACCTCTCCCCCACACAAACACACACAGTTACCAGTTCCTCTCACATTGTGTCTATAACATTCGCCATGGGGTTTGTTCATGGGTCTTCCTCTCCTACAAGTGGCTCCAAAATCACTTCTCTCTGTCTCTGTCTCTCTCTCTCTCTCTCTCTCTCTCTCTCTCTCTCTCTCTCTCTCTCTCTCTCTGCTGAGTTTTGCTCATCCGGGGGAATCTGGCTCAATGGTAGAACATTTGCCTCGCATGCACAAAGCTGTGGGCTCATCCTCAGCACCAGCGGGTTGTATTGGAGTACACACAAAATAGTCTTAATTAAACCAGGAAGCAAGCGGGGACTGCAGAGCCGGCTAAGCAACCAGGAAGTTCTGAACAAATTCTGAACTATCACCTTGCAATTGATTAAAAAAAAAAAAAAAAACACT